GGAAAGAGATTAGATTTAAATATGGAATGATACTGAAAGACACACTGGGTAGGAGCTTAGGTTTAAATATGAAATGATACTGAAAGACACACTGGGTAGGAGTTTCGGTTAGGTTTAAATATGGAATGATATTGAAAGACACACTGGGTAGGCGCTTACGTTTAAATACAGAATAATAGTGAAAGACACACTGGGAAGGAGATTAGATTTAAATATGGAATGATACTGAAAGACACACTGGGTAGGAGCTTAGATTTAAATATGGAATGATTCTGAAAGACACACTGGGTAGGAGCTTAGATTTAAATATGGAATGATTCTGAAAGACACACTGGGTAGGAGCTTAGGTTTAAATATGGAATGATTCTGAAAGACACACTGGGTAGGAGATTAGATTTAAATATGGAATGATACTGAAAGACACACTGGGTAGGAGCTTAGGTTTAAATATGGAATGATTCTGAAAGACACACTCGGTAGGAAAAAAGTTTTTAATTAGGGAAGAATTCTGAAATACACATCTAAAAACATATTCGGTTTTTATTATATTACGGAAAGACACCATATCAAGATTATAGCATTTAGCTATAATGTGTGATGTCTTTTCCAAAAAAAAAGAACATTTACTGTGTTGTACTGGCATGTATCCTCACCCTGCTCTCATGTGTTGTACTGGCATGTATCATCACACTGCTCTCATGTGTTGTACTGGCATGTATCATCACACTGCTCTCATGTGTTGTACTGGCATGTATCATCACACTGCTCTCATGTGTTGTACTGGCATGTATCATCACACTGCTCTCATGTGTTGTACTGGCATGTATCATCACACTGCTCTCATGTGTTCTACTGGTATGTATCATCACACTGCTCTCATGTGTTGTACTGGTATGTATCATCACACTGCTCTCATGTGTTCTACTGGTATGTATCATCACACTGCTCTCATGTGTTGTACTGGCATGTATCATCACACTGCTCTCATGTGTTGTACTGGCATGTATCATCACACTGCTCTCATGTGTTGTACTGGCATGTATCATCACACTGCTCTCATGTGTTGTACTGGCATGTATCCTCACCCTGCTCTCATGTGTTGCACTGGCATGTATCATCACCCTGCTCTCATGTGTTCTACTGGTATGTATCATCACCCTGCTCTCATGTGTTGCACTGGCATGTATCATCACCCTGCTCTCATGTGTTGTACTGGCATGTATCATCACACTGCTCTCATGTGTTCTACTGGTATGTATCATCACCCTGCTCTCATGTGTTGTACTGGCATGTATCATCACACTGCTCTCATGTGTTGTACTGGCATGTATCATCACACTGCTCTCATGTGTTGTACTGACATGTATCATCACACTGCTCTCATGTGTTGTACTGGTATGTATCATCACACTGCTCTCATGTGTTGTACTGACATGTATCATCACCCTGCTCTCATGTGTTGTACTGGCATGTATCATCACCCTGCTCTCATGTGTTGTACTGGCATGTATCATCACACTGCTCTCATGTGTTCTACTGGTATGTATCATCACACTGCTCTCATGTGTTGTACTGACATGTATCATCACACTGCTCTCATGTGTTGTACTGGCATGTATCATCACACTGCTCTCATGTGTTGTACTGGCATGTATCATCACACTGCTCTCATGTGTTGTACTGGCATGTATCATCACACTGCTCTCATGTGTTGTACTGGCATGTATCATCACACTGCTCTCATGTGTTGTACTGGCATGTATCATCACACTGCTCTCATGTGTTGTACTGGCATGTATCATCACACTGCTCTCATGTGTTGTACTGGCATGTATCATCACACTGCTCTCATGTGTTGTACTGGCATGTATCATCACACTGCTCTCATGTGTTGTACTGGCATGTATCATCACACTGCTCTCATGTGTTGTACTGGCATGTATCATCACACTGCTCTCATGTGTTGTACTGGCATGTATCATCACACTGCTCTCATGTGTTGTACTGGCATGTATCATCACACTGCTCTCATGTGTTGTACTGGCATGTATCATCACACTGCTCTCATGTGTTGTACTGGCATGTATCATCACACTGCTCTCATGTGTTGTACTGGCATGTATCATCACACTGCTCTCATGTGTTGTACTGGCATGTATCATCACACTGCTCTCATGTGTTGTACTGGCATGTATCATCACACTGCTCTCATGTGTTGTACTGGCATGTATCATCACACTGCTCTCATGTGTTGTACTGGCATGTATCATCACACTGCTCTCATGTGTTGTACTGGCATGTATCATCACACTGCTCTCATGTGTTGTACTGGCATGTATCATCACACTGCTCTCATGTGTTGTACTGGCATGTATCATCACACTGCTCTCATGTGTTGTACTGGCATGTATCATCACACTGCTCTCATGTGTTGTACTGGCATGTATCATCACACTGCTCTCATGTGTTGTACTGGCATGTATCATCACACTGCTCTCATGTGTTGTACTGGCATGTATCATCACACTGCTCTCATGTGTTGTACTGGCATGTATCATCACACTGCTCTCATGTGTTGTACTGGCATGTATCATCACACTGCTCTCATGTGTTGTACTGGTATGTATCATCATACTGCTCTGGTGTGTTGTACTGGCTTGTTTCATCATACTGCTCTGGTGTGTTGTACTGGCTTGTTTCATCATACTGCTCTGGTGTGTTGTACTGGCTTGTTTCATCATACTGCTCTGGTGTGTTGTACTGGCTTGTTTCATCATACTGCTCTGGTGTGTTGTACTGGCTTGTTTCATCATACTGCTCTGGTGTGTTGTACTGGCTTGTTTCATCATACTGCTCTGGTGTGTTGTACTGGCTTGTTTCATCATACTGCTCTGGTGTGTTGTAATGGCATATACCATCACACTGCTCTTTTGTATTGTATTGTTTTATATCTTCACACTGCTCTCCTGTGTTATATAGATATATATGACCACACTGTTCTGGTGTGTTATACTGGCATGTATCACCACACTGCTCTGGTATGTTGTACTGGAATTTATCACTACACTGCTATCGTGGGTTTTACTTAAATGTATCACCACACTGTTCAGATGTGTTGAACTGACATATATCATCACACTGCTCTGGTGTGTAGTACTGGGCATGTATTACCACACTGCTCTGATGTAATGAATTGACATATATCACCACACTGCTCTGATGTAATGAATTGACATATATCACCACACTGCTCTGATGTAATGAATTGACATATATCACCACACTGCTCTGATGTAATGAATTGACATATATCACCACACTGCTCTGATGTAATGAATTGACATATATCACCACACTGCTCTGATGTAATGAATTGACATATATCACCACACTGCTCTGATGTAATGAATTGACATATATCACCACACTGCTCTGATGTAATGAATTGACATATATCACCACACTGCTCTGATGTAATGAATTGACATATATCACCACACTGCTCTGATGTAATGAATTGACATATATCACCACACTGCTCTGATGTAATGAATTGACATATATCACCACACTGCTCTGGTGTGGTGTACTTAAATTTATCATCACATTGCTCTGGTGTGTTGTACTGGCATGTATCCTCACACGGGTCGCCTCTGGTCATAGCTTAAAACTTTTAACAAGACTTGTGAACACATCGCTAACTAGGTTGACATGTAGATCAAGTATTTCCGGAAACTTTTTTGTTGTTCTTCATTATTTAAACATCGGTTTTCATTTGCTTTAACGTAATTAATATATATCAAATCTAGGTTGTTCAAATGAATTTAAGAAACCGCGTCAATTTCCCTCATTTGCCTTGAATGGAGGTCGCGCTTCCTCTCCGGTGCGGTCCTAACCTTGCAGATTGACGAAGATCCTCACAAAGAAGCTGAACACAAAAATGCGTCTACAGCGTACCGTGGCTTTTCAGAATAAGATTGTATGACTTTTGATCCCAATTTATCCGTGGTTGCTTTCCTTAAACTTCAATGATTTGATTTCGGCCACGGTGCGCGTGAGGTTAATTTTACCGGACAGAGTGACGTCACACTCACACTGTCTACTGTCACGGTTATCGCCAAACGCAGTGATCAACCCTCTTGTCCTGTTTAACTGACTTTGATCCCCCACTCCATCCTTATCTCAGATCAAGCATTTATCCCCCTGGAGAAGCTAGAACAAGAATACGAAGACCTCTACGAGGATGAGCTGACGACAATCAAGTTCTTCTTTGACGACTGCAATGTGGTACCAAAAAACCTCAAGTACCAAGTTATTGTCGGTGACAGATATGACACGGAAGAGATATATGGTGCTTCTAAAGGTAGGTAACACCCCCCTCCCCCACCTGAATTCTGTTGGACTTGAGCATCCAAATAAATCAGCAAAAGTTTGGAGGGAAAAAAGAAAGTTTTTTTTTCTTTTGTTTTGAGATAAAAAATACTATTATTTTTCAAATTTTTTTTTTTTTTTAAAAGAAAAAAAAATAAATGAGTTTTTCTTAAAATTCAATCTTAGAATATACTGAAAGTTGATAGTGAATTTTTATTTTTCCGTACGTTTCCTTGTATGTAAATACAATTTTTATTCACAAGTTCGACTGTGTATTTTTTTTAAATGGATCATTTTTTGTTCATTGTATGAAATACATCACATTCCATAAAGGAAAACAGTTAATGACACATTAAGAGCTGAACACTTTAGAGCCCATGATAAAGCCGTAAATCTCTCATGAAACGCAGACAGACAAAATGTGTCCGTTAATTGTAATTTTTTTCTTCCGGAAAAGGAATTATGCACGCTCTGTTCATGCAAACATAATTCAGAGAATAGACCAAAAGGTGGCGACGTAATATTTTCGGATGTCTGATTCGAATAACGTTGGTGTTAATCTGAATTACGCTTAGTAAGATCTTTTATTTAAAAATGCCTTTTTTTTTTCTAATGCTAAGAGTACAGCAAGACGTTTGCGTTGGCTCACCTGGCTGTGGTCAATGGATTCACTGCGTATTGGCTGGAGCAGCAGAAATTACCTGACCCGAAAATTGTTGCGATGGAATTTCAAAAACTTCCCGACCTACCTTTCACGGACTCGAACAGAAAAACGATTCTTGAATTACTGAGAGATTTCTTCGGATTTTTTTTCCTGGGGCTGGTGTTGTTCACAACGAAAGGTGTGGTAGAAGACAAAGAAACCAAAATAAAGGTTGGAATCTGTTGTTTGGATTGGGGGGGGGGGCGGGTAATTTTTTAAAAGGTATTTTTGATGTAGGGATATGGACATTTGCGGTGTTTAATAGTAAAGAAATGCGTTGTCGTGCACAGAAAAAAAAACAATGAATCTAAAACAAAACATATGAGACAAACAGCAAACTCTCCAGCAAGCTTATTAAGTCTTCCTTAACGCAACCCCCCTTTCAACCAACGCCCCCACTCGTCGTTATTACAGTCAGGCCGCGAAGTAGGAACACCCTGCCGCCTCGTGGTGCTGCTCTCACACCACCCGCAGTTGAACCTCCTAGGGTTTGGGGTGGTATATATTTAACGTCTCTAAATCATCCCTTCAGATCTCGGGGTGGCGACTGACGCCCTCTCATGGGGGTTTCTACACGGGGTTTCTACATTGTGACTAGACACATTTTAGCTGGGACGAAACGGTTCCCTAGGAGCAGTCCCCTCAAAGGCTGCATGATCAGAACCATGGTCAAGGGCTTCCACGACCCACTCTTGGCTCATATCAAAACGCTCAAGCTGTAATGCGCCATCTGAAATTTATGATAGATTCTTTACCACAAACTGTATATTTACCGACCAACATCTTTGACTTATAATAACATTACATTTCGGGCGAAACTTGGTCACATGGAGCGTAGAGCTCTTAAACAAATATTTTGAAAACGTTACAAATTGCCCGGTTTCTCATCAGGATTCTATAGTTTTCAAAACACACTTTAAATTGTCTAGTGAAAGTAACCAAAATCGTCTGGTACTCTTGCATCCTTAGGAATCAATGAGGCTGATGGGATTGGGTGAAGTAGTGTACTGGCTCTCGTGGCTTCTCATCGGCCTACAGATAGGGACGATCATCTCTGTAGCGTTCGTGTTGTGCACTTTCCCGCAGTACGGAGAGGAGCGCTTCTTGAGCACCAACCCCGTCCTGGTGTTTGTGGTGCTGATCCTTTACGTCACCAACAACACGACATTCGCCCTGGCCATGTCTTGCTTCATACAAAAAGGTAAGATGATCTAAAAGACCACAGTTTAAATCCTGAAAGTTGCGGCAGTGGCTGAACTTAGCATGATGGCTTGACCAAAAGCCCAGTCATTCAGTCAGTCAATATGCCACATGCAAACAAAAACAAAAATGAAACATAAAGGACTAGCGAGAACCCGGCATGCGTTGCAATGCCACTCAAAGAAAAATGTGTTTGTGTTTTAATTAGGTTTTTTGAAAGTAATTTTTTAAATAGAAAATATGTTTCGATTCCATCTGGTCGTACACAAATAAATGAGAAGGTGTTTCCAGGCTTGAACAGGCCACATACAGCTGTCCCCGAGAGCAGGCCACATAAAGCTGTCCACGTGAGCAGGCCTCATACAGCTGTCCACGTGAGCAGGCCTCATACAGCTGTCCACGTGAGTAGGCAATATACAGCTGTCCACGTGAGCAGACCACTTAAAGCTGTCCACGCGAGAAGGCCTCATACAGCTGTCCACGTGAGCAGGCCATATACAGCTGTCCACATGAGCAGGCCACATACAGCTATCCACGTGAGCAAGCCACATACAGCTGTCCACGTGAGAAGCATATATTTTCAGAAATTTAGTCCTCACACTTGTAGTCATTGATTCACCCATGCAGTATCTCTTTTTAAAATAATATTATATAGCTAGTATAAAAAAATAATATTAAAAATTAAGGCCCTCGACTCTAAACGCAAAATTGTTAAATGGTTGTACTAATTCAGAAACATACTTAGTATATCCCACACAAACTGAAATGTCGTTGTATTTGATTAAATTCCATCCACCCATGCAATAGCTCTGTTTCAAATTATATTTCTATTTTTCAAATAAGAAAATACATTTTTAGGGTCCCCGGCCTCTAAGGGAATATTTTAAAATGGATAACCTACTTCAGAAACATTTGCGGCCGTGGTCACAACAACGTACCAATGTTTTATCGCAATCGGATGAAAGGTATAGGAACGCATACGGAAATTATATTTAGCTCATAAAAGGGAGAAGAAAGAATTTAGGGCCTCTGGCCAAAAACAGAATATTGTAAAATGTGTGCAATAATTCAGAAACATTTGCGGGCGAGTTTACATCAACTCAAAAAAGTTTTATCGCTATCGGTTGAATGGTTTGGGAGCGGATACGGGACAAAGCATCGTCAGCGAAAAGAAGTTCACGAATCGGCACCTTTTTTACTTTGTCTTTGCACGAAGGCGGGCGATATTGAACAGCCTACCATCAGACATGGTATGGACGAACACATAATCTTCACAGTCTCTGAAGGCAAATTGTAGGAACATCGAAAAGAAAATGGAAAAGAGCGTTTGTGCCAGTACACAACCCTGTTTTAATCCGCTGCTAACTGGGAATGACTCAGAGACAGTGCCAATGAAAGTTACTGTGCTGTGCATGTTTTTGTGAAATGACTGTATTTTTGCCTCATTACCTCCTCTCTCAGTTCAACCGAGCCATTTTTCTTTAACCGCTTCCGCTTGTACTGGCGATCTCTCCTGTAGATGAGCCTACGGATTTCAGCCGAAATCCATGGCTGATTCATCTTAGGTTTGGTGGTCTTGTGTGGTATGAATTTATTCACAGCATCAATGATTGGTGTCTTAAACGTCATCCAGAGCTCTTCTGTCGTCACCGTAGACTGAATCTCCTGCATGTCTGAGCTGAGCTCTGTCGTTGCACTTCTCAGGCTATCCCAGTCTGCCTTTTCATAAATTTGAATTTCTCGCATGATAAGTTTTATTTTTAGTGTGTGACCTGAAATTCACAGAATGGTGTGCAGTGGTCTGATATCCCGGGGATGACATTAACTTTTGGGATGCGATGTGGACAGATTGTGCGGAGTAGGTCAAGAGTGTCCCCCACCCCTTCATGAATTCTTTAATTAACTGTTCCTGACCATGGTTGTTAATCATCTCCATAAATTGTGAGTGGAGGACAGGATTTTCAGCATGTTGGTTGTTGGCGCTTTGGCATTGACCACGAAACCATTGCCCAGATGGTTCGCGGAAATTCATCTGTCCTCCAACCGTACAGCAAGCTTACATGCTCCGTAAATACATGATGACTGGGATTTGGAACATGAGGGGATATGCAAGGGAGAACAGCCATCACTCGTAGCGACATTCGGTCCAGTGTTGGGTTGAGGAGAGTACGAGTTTTCTAGAAGGATACATGCCAGAGACAATTGTATCAGTCTTTGAAGGATAAGGGGCCTCTGAGTAGAGCAAGATGGAGATGCTCCATGTAAAATGTCTACAAACACACAGTGAGCAGTAATTGCTGTACCGAAATCTGTCTTCTTACTAAATTCTAAATTGTCATATAAAGCACCTATTTCTGGGCTATGGGCATCACAGGTTAACGATTTATTTACCAGAGCAGTTACCACAATGGTATATAATGTAATATTGTATTTGAACATACCATAAGCACCCCAGTGTGTATCAGTCTGAGAGCACAAGCAGGAATAGAGATTTTGCTACGCTTCATGTAAGGAAATAATTGGGAAAAAAACATGGCGCGTGACATTTGGCTCACCCCTTGACCAGCAATGGCGACATTTGGCTCACCCCTTGACCAGCAATGGTGACATTTGGCTCATCCCTTGACCAGCAATGGCAACATTTGGCTCATCCCTTGACCAGCAATGGCGACATTTGGCTCACCCCTTGACCAGCAATGGCGACATTTGGCTCACCCCTTGACCAGCAATGGCGACATTTGGCTCACCCCTTGACCAGCAATGGCGACATTTGGCTCACCCCTTGACCAGCAATGGTGACATTTGGCTCATCCCTTGACCAGCAGTGGTGAAATTTTAGTTTATAAATCACAGTTTGTTGAGGAACTAGTCAAAGAAATATTCCTCATCACAAAACCATGTAAAAGAATCTCATCTAACCGGACGAACACATATACGCACATCTACACAAATGACGTGCACATTGCCATTGTTGTCCTCAAAATCAACATTCTAACAATGTATTTCCGCATATACATAGCAGTAACAATTTGTTTGTAAAATCATTCTTAAAATAAAGTCGAAGCCAAGTTTTCGTCTAGATTAAGACCCACTATGCTGGCTTACATTAACTTCGAAGTACCGACCAGATGTTGAGAGATTGGCCCAATGGAATACCAGGATGTTTTAATAATCTCTGACTGAAATTTTGTCCGACTGTACACCTGGATATTCATTTAACAGATTCTCGCCATTAATTGACAAATCTTATGGGATAAAAGAACTGAAAGAAGCATCACGCTTATTAAATCTCACTTAAAATATAAAGGCCATATCTGAAGTTTATGTAAAATAAAAATTACACATACGTAATGTATCTCTGCCCCCCCCCCCCCACTTTTCCCTCGGAAAAAAAATGACTAAGCAATTTGCTTTAGTGTTATGCTTTTCTCTGCAGCTCGCAACGCGATATTGGTGGCAGCGACACTTTTTNTAAAATATAAAGGCAATATCTGAAGTTAAGGTAAAAAAAAAATTACCAATACGTAATGTATCCCTGCCCCCCCCCCCCACTTTTCCCTCGGAAAAAAAATGACTAAGCAATTTGCTTTAGTGTTATGCTTTTCTCTGCAGCTCGCAACGCGATAATGGTGGCAGCGACACTTTTTATAGTTATGCTTTTCTCTGCAGCTCGCAACGCGATAGTGGTGGCAGCGACACTTTTTATAGCTACTTGGTTCGGGTCACGCCTTATTCTGAAGTACTGTCTGACAAGATCCATCACCCTGGTCATGGGCACCTTCGTACCCCAAGCTGGAATCAACGTCTTCATCTATGACTTCTTTAGCCTGGAGCTCCGCAGTGAGTGATAGTAACGGTAGCTCAAAGATATCTGAAATGATAGCAATACGTTTGTTTGAACAGTGCTGAAATGGTTGAGACAGTGGATGTTTGAGACCCGTGGCTATTGATGGAAACACTTGCCTTAAAGAACTCTAAAGAAATGTTTCAGGGTGGTCGATTTGTCTAAACTATGTCAATTGTGGTCTGGCGTACAGTCCCCCAAAAGACAAAGTCAAGCGAATACATCCCCATCGCCCCTGTCGCAGGGCAACTCATCTAACAGATGGTCAAACTTGAAATTAAACAAAAAAACAAGGAGGAAGAGTCGCGTAGTTGGATAGATTAATAAAATGAAACTTTCCGAGAACTTCTGCGACGCTGCTGGTGCCAAGCTACATCATCCATTTATGGTTATCCAGGTGGGTGGAGAGAGGCGATTTGCTGTGTAGGGAACCAGCTTATACAACTATAGAAAAAAAAAAGCAGACCGTGTGATTTCGTCCTGCGAAGTCTGCACCACTGTCACATTGTCACATTGTGACGGACGGATGCCAGAAAAAAACACACAAAAAACAACAACATCCCACACGCACCTGCACACACAACACATGCATACGCAAAAGATACTTAAACGCACACATACACATTTACAGGCACACATATACGCACATCTACACAGGCACACACATGCGCACATCTACACAGGCACACCAGGCTCACATCTACACAGGCACACCCATGCTCACATCTACACAGGCACACCCATCCTCACATCTACACAGGCACACCCATGCTCACATCTACACAGGCACACCCATGCTCACATCTACACAGGCACACCCATGCTCACATCTACACAGGCACACCCATGCTCACATCTACACAGGCACACCCATGCTCACATCTACACAGGCACACCCATGCTCACATCTACACAGGCACACCCATGCTCACATCTACACAGGCACACCCATGCTCACATCTACACAGGCACACCCATGCTCACATCTACACAGGCACACCCATGCTCACATCTACACAGGCACACCCATGCTCACATCTACACAGGCACACCCATGCTCACATCTACACAGGCACACCCATGCTCACATCTACACAGGCACACCCATGCTCACATCTACACAGGCACACCCATGCTCACATCTACACAGGCACACCCATGCTCACATCTACACAGGCACACCCATGCTCACATCTACACAGGCACACCCATGCTCACATCTACACAGGCACACCCATGCTCACATCTACACAGGCACACCCATGCTCACATCTACACAGGCACACCCATGCTCACATCTACACAGGCACACCCATGCTCACATCTACACAGGCACACCCATGCTCACATCTACACAGGCACACCCATGCTCACATCTACACAGGCACACCCATGCTCACATCTACACAGGCACACCCATGCTCACATCTACACAGGCACACCCATGCTCACATCTACACAGGCACACCCATGCTCACATCTACACAGGCACACCCATGCTCACATCTACACAGTCACACCCATGCTCACATCTACACAGTCACACCCATGCTCACATCTACACAGTCACACCCATGCTCACATCTACACAGGCACACCCATGCTCACATCTACACGGGCACACCCGTGCTCACATCTACACGGGCACACCCGTGCTCACATCTACACAGGCACACCCATCCTCACATATACACAGGCACACCCATGCTCACATCTACACAGGCACACCCATGCTCACATCTACACAGGCACACCCATCCTCACATATACACAGGCACACCCATGCTCACATCTACACAGGCACACCCGTGCTCACATCTACACAGGCACACACATGCGCACATCTACACAGGCACACACATGCGCACATCTACACGGGCACACCCGTGCTCACATCTACACGGGCACACACATACACAGGTACAAATATACATAAGTACACACTCACAAAAATACACAGGCCCTCACGTGCACATTGCCATTGCTGTCCTCAACATCAACGTTGTAAGTAATTCTGTATTGTCATGTATATGTTGATGTGATGACTTTTATTTTGTCTTGCGAAGACATTAACATATCATAACACATAACATTTTTCATACTTTGGAGCAACAGCCGCACTGTCAACTAATGTGTTACGAGAATAGAAGATGATGTATGAGAAATGTTAACGTGCTCAATTTTTGTCATCCAATTTTTGTGTGATGTAAGACCTTTAAGAATTTTGAGTTGGAGAACAAGCGATACACCTGACTTGATTCTTGTCAAATACAGCGCTTTGATTCAATTCTCAACAGTTCTTTGATTCAATTATCAACAGTGCCCTGATTCAGTTCTAAATAGTGACTTTTTTCAATTCTCAACAGTGCCTTGATTCAGTTCTAAATAGTGACTTTTTTCAATTCTCAACAGTGCCTTGTTTCAATTATCAACAGTGCCTTGATTCAATGCTCAACAGTGCCTTGATTCAATTCTCAACAGTGCCTTACTTCACTTCTCAACAGTTCCTTGTTTACTTCTCAACAGTGTGTTAATTCAATTCTCAACAGTTTCTTGATTCACTTCTAAAAATTTATTGTTTCACTACCCAACATTGTCATTAAAGTATGGGGTCGCTGGGCTTAATATATATAAATATATATATATATATATATATATATATATATATATATATATATATATATATATATATATATATATATAT